CCTCCCTCTCTCCCTCCCTCCCTCCCTCCCTCCCTTCCTTCCTTCCTTCCTTCCTTCCTTCCTTCCTTCCTTCCTCTCTTCCCCATAATTTGGTCCTTCCTTCCTTCCTTCCTTTCTTCCTTCCTCTCTTCCCCATAATTTGGTCCTTCCTTCCTTCCTTCCTTCCTTCCTTCCTTCCTTCCTCTCTTCCTTCCCTTCCCTTCCCTCCCCTCCCTTGTGATCTCAAATCTAAACCGAAGAACGAGCAAGTGCTGAAAAAACGCTAGTGAAACAAAATGAATAAATCACAATTGGCTGGGTTCTCCTCACTCGCTACAACAGGTTTACCAACCACATTACTCTCGAGGCCCTTGCAACAAGTTTAAGCAGCACCCAAAGATCCCGGCGGAATAGCCTAGCCCTAGCCCCGTTTTTCACGGGAAGAGCCGCGAGCATCCTCTTCCGCTCTCTTCAGGAGCTTTAGGCCTCCCCCAGACCCTGCGGAGTTCTCCTCTGCAGCTCTTCCCCAACCCCACAGGGACGCTCGATCCCAAACCAGGCTCTCCAGGGACCGCCTGGAGCATCAGCCAAGTTTCTGCTCCGCTGCCAGAACTGATTTCAATTCTGGGAGTTGAAGTCCACAGGCCTGTAAAGTTGTCAGGCTGGATACTCCTGATCTAAGGGGTGTCAGAAAGTTGAGTGACAGCTCGATCATCCTGGCGTTTTCTTCATCTCAGAAGTGAGGATGAAAACCAGACCCAGACAACAGACCTCACCCCAAAAGCTACAGGCACCTGTGGGTCTGCAAAAGTGCCACCAAGGAGGAAATGGAGAAAAGCTGGAAGGTGGCTGGAGGGATGCTGCTCGTTTTGGGGGTCAAGGACACCTGGACTTCAATTCCCATCATCCTTGCGCTCTCCTTCAGGGCTGACCTAGGATTGCAGTTCCACGTTTGGGGAGCCACACACTCCCATAGCTGTTCCACTGGGTACGTTGGATTACAAAAGCAGCTGAGAGAGGTAGGGCCTTGAAGAGGTCACCCAAGCTTGCCTTGCCAGAGAGCCCAACTAATCTCCTGCTGTGTTGCCTAGGCTCTGTCTGGAGATCAGTGGAGGAGGAGAACAAGTAATCTCTGCCTTGTGAATATTATCAGAAAAGAGATGGTTGGTGTTACTGATCAGGTGTGCAAGATTGAAACTGATCAAAAATGGTAGCTCCAGCCTTTTAGGGCATCTGACCATACTTGGAGAAGACTCCTGCGAGTCCCCTGGACTGGAAGGCAATCAAAACCGGTCAGTCCTAGAGGAGATCAACCCTGATTGCTCTTTAGAAGGCCAGATCCTGAAGTTGAAACTCAAGTCCTTTGGCCACCTAATGAGAAGGAAGGACTCACTGGAGAAGAGCCTAATGCTGGGAAAGATGGAGGGCAATAGAAGAAGGGGACGACAGAGAATGAGGTGGCTGGATGGAGTCACTGAAGCAGTAGGCGTGAGCTTAAAGGGACTCCAGAAGATGGTAGAGGACAGGAAGGCCTGGAGGAACGTTGTCCATGGGGTCGCAATGGGTCGGACACGACTTCGCAACCAACAACAACAACAACATAGTTGGTGTAAGCTCGTGGAAGGGGGCAGGGGAAAAGGATCAATTATTCCTACCCATCACCCATGTTTGGTTACGTATATGTACACCTGTATAATCCTATATACAAAGGTGATCTCTCCATGGTTCCAACTTCTGGATTAGAACTCAAGTCCACTGAAAAATACCCAGTCTCAAGAAAGAAAGTCGGGGAATTAAATCCTTCTCTTCCTTCAAGACTGAAATCTGCCCATTGCTAGTGGACAACCACTCCCCATTTCATGCCTCAACTTCAACGATCGGCTGGAATCGATTGCACAAATCCAACATCGGTCCGGATTTATCAGAGAAGGCTTCGCAAAAGAAATTGAAACGGTCCCCAAAAACGGCGGCCGGTGGAGTGGGGAGGGGTCTTTCTGGGCAGGCCCAGGCCTGGGGGCGACTCAGCCTCCAAGAGACACCCAGCCCCGCGAGTTTTAGCTGGCTAAACATCTCCGGGGACCGAAACGTTCCA